AGTTCCAAGAAACTCCCCACTAACTTGATGTACTTGATGTAGTATTGTACTTTCTGCTACATTGCCTTGTACAATAGTAGGCTTTGATACAAAACCTTGAGTAAGATCCTGTCTTTGTACCACATCAGTAAGGTAAAACTGCACACAGCTAGAGGATCAGGGCTAATGCAATAAGATGATCACACTGCAGTTTCTGCCCTTTTGTTGCGCAAATATCCATGATTTTAAAAAGTTCTACTCAAACAATGTTTTCAAAAAATGTTATTCAAATAGAACAATACTCCGCAATGCTGTGGGACAGCAAAAATGTCCCTTTCATCAGCACAAATTGCCACAACTTACATATTTCGTTATCATTTTTTTGAGATATATTGGATATATTGTTACAAATGACATGTAATTTTTTAAAGAAGTAGTTTAATTTCTGATTTTTAAAATACGCAAATCATTTTCAGTTTTCTCATTAATCTTCAAATTAGCAGGTAAGGAACTGTGAATTTCACATCTCTAAGATTAATTATATTTATTTTTGTTTAATATACCAGGTTAAAAATATACATTTAGAATCAATAATGGCTGGAAATAATAAGAGTCATGTCATAAAAGCTTAATTTAGGGTGAACATATAATACTGGGAAGGAACAACCAAGAATACCATCAATTTATTTACATGTACACTTGGGGAAAACACTGTGCATTAGTCAAAGTTCAAGTTTTCAATCTGCACAGACTGTACATTATAACACGTGGCGTGCAGTTAAGAAATGTTAGTTGTAACCTGAAGTTGCAGACAGGCACAAAGGAACTTCTGACACTCTCAGATCTTAGCTACACTGAAAGACCGGTGTTTTAAAAATATAATAACCAATCAAAACCCTCCTTTTCTCTGTATGTATCTATCATCATCTGCACTGCTTCTTTAATAATGAAAACCAAAGGCAGACAGAGAACACAGGGAATCTGTGGAAGAGATTACATTAATAATGGAGTTAATTAATTACATTGGATATCTAACAATTTTGTTTAAATATCAGTGATGCACTATTCAGAGTGAGCAAGAGTAAGAGTATCTCCTTGGGCAACAAAGCCCATCTGTTGTGTAGTGCTGCTTATTTCTGGATGACTCTGACCTCCACTGGAAGTCTGTAAAAACTCTGTAAAAGACCAAAGCAATTTCAGGATTAAGTACATATGAAAACACTTCTCACAGTTTTTTCTGGAAGTTCTTTTACCTGTTACAATCTCTGCTAGTTTCAGTGAGCTGAGTTTGACTTTTAATAGTGTACTTAAAAAGCTGTGTCTACATGTGAACAAGATGAGGATTCTTCTATTAAATAATTACCAATATTGTATTAAATAATTACCAAATAATTAATAGTGAGGCGAGGGTCAGTCGCTTTTCCAGAATAACTACCAATACAACAAGAGGAAATGGTCTCAAGCTATGCCAGGGAAGGTTCAGGTTAGATACTAGGAAAAAAATTCTACACGGAAAGCGTAGTCAAGCATTGGAACAGGCGGCCCAGGGAAGTGGTGGAGTCACTGTCCCTGGCAGCGTTCAAGAAATGTGTAGATGAGGCACTTAGGGACATGGTTTAGCAGGCTTGGTGGTGATGGGCTTATGGTTGGACTCAATGCTCTTGAAGGTCTTTTCTAACCATAATGACTCTATGATTCTATGATTCCGATTTCCCAGAGAGTTAACTAAAAACACCAAAGTACTCTCTAAAAGCAATGTTGATTTTTTCTCATTCATTGCTAGTCACAAAAGGAAACACCAGATCTAATTTAATTTTCCACTGCTGTAAATGATATAGTGGCATTCACTGATCAAGGAAACCCTGTTCCTGCTATTTCATCCATTAACCATTTATTACGGTTTTATCCTTCTCCTGCGCAAACACATGTATGATAAACATACAAAGTCCATTTGGTGACACAACTCATGCACTACTAAACCTAATACACTGTGCCGCTGATAACAGCTTTCCAAGACTGAAAAAAAAAAAAAAGTTATTTCTGTTGGCTCTGTTGGCAAAAGCACACTTGCATATACTGCCACTGCAGTCCCAGGTACAGAAAGCAGTGTGTGACGCCAGTGCGGCAGGCTGTAATTAGCCAAGTAATCAACCGGTATTACTTGCAGCAATTACCGCAGCAGATCTATGAAAAGAAAAGCAACGTCAGGCACAGTAAAGCTTCCAAGTTTTCACAGAAGCAAAACTAGCACCAGAACACACCCCAGCTGTGGGGAGGCCACCTTGCGCTTTGACATCCTCCTCAGCACACATGAGTTTCGCTCTGTGGCCACACAGCCGCTGTCACAGCCGCTCCCGCTTGCTGCCGCCTCAGCTGCCCCGCCGCTCAGCGCTGCGGTGCTGCCGCCATGCCAGGCCCCCTGCAGCGGTGGGGGAGCGATTAACCGGCACTTGGAAAACTCGGCGGAGCCTCTTGCGGTTTCACATCCGCATTAGATGTGGCCTCCTCGGGCTGGCTCTAAATTATTTCTGAACAGCAGGGAATAGTTTGGGTTTTCTTCACATTTTGCTTGCCCGAGGCCCGGCATTGGCTTGGGTGGCAGCAGCTGGCACTGCACCTCTCCACCTCCTTGTCCTGCTCCTGCTCCCCTTGGTCCCACCTTCCACTTGGCGAGCGGGACTGCAAGTGAAGGTGACAGCAGACACCAAATCCATGTAATGCTTCCTAGCATCCAGTTTAACTGTTGCAGCAGAGCCCACACTTCACAGCATTACTTCTCATTCTTTTCTCCTGTTTTTTTTTTTTTTTCCCAAATACTTTTAGAGCTTTGTTTACATTTCCTTTTATGATTAAATTTCTAGACTCTGAAGGTTGTTTTCATGCAAGTATGTTAAGTATATTCTCAGTAAGTAACAAAAACTTGGTCCACTAGCTAATCTTGGAAGATGTGCTTTCTCTGGGACTATTTGTTTCGCTTTACTTTGTTCAGTATTCTTCACTACTCATTGCTCATCTCCTTAGGGTTTCAGAAAAAAGGGAACATGCAAAGCCATAAAGACACATGAAAACATACTACTTCAGATACCAGGTACTGTATTGGGTATTTTCAAAAATTGTTTCTCAATTCTTGCTTTTATTTTTAAATCCATGGTCTTAGCACACCTGAAACATTTTGTTGTGGTACTACATACTGGCAATGGACAAGTCATTGAAGTTTAGCCAGTTCTGTCACCTTAAATTGAAATGCCACTAGTTGGCAGTGCTTAAAAGACATTTTATAAACCATCTTCTTTCTTTGCATACTGATGAGTTTTGTCAGCTGAAAGTCTAACTACTGTTATAGAGTGCCTCCATAAGTGAAAAGCCTTTGGTTGGAATCAGTAAATAGATTTACATGGTTACTAGTAAAATTTTACTAGCATTAATTTTTAAAAGCATTTTCTTTCTGATGAAATAGCAAATTTAAAATTATACTCCCCCAAAAAGCCAACAGTGCTTCACTAAGTGCATCTAAGTTGCTACTCCTTATTGGTTCTTAGCTTTCAGAATTTAACATGCCATCTGTCATGAAGATACGATCCCGAAGCAAGACAAGTTCTTGCCATGAGTAAAAGGATAAACTCTGAGACTTAGTAAGTATGTACCTGTTGTCACGGAGAAGAGAATTTTTAGCCTTTATTTCCTTGTGTCCAGGAGTGCAAGGAAACTGAAAAGACAATAGTGATCTAAGAAGGCAGAGTGCTATACAAGTACTCTAGCTTTATATTACTCCAAAGTGTAGCACATCAAACCATTCTGAACACGTCAATAGTTTGACAAATGTGCTTATATACATCAAGCCTCTCAACTAGCAGACTGATGGGATCTACAGCAAAGTATTGGATAAGTAGGAGACAATAACCCATTACTAACAGCTTGTGTGTCAGGATGTTTGGAAGGAGAGGAATTTGTTCGCAAAGCAAGAAGAATGGATGAAAATTTATCATAAGTTGTGAACATACAGAGGAAATCAGATTATTTGCAGGTGCTGAACTTAAAACATAAATGTAATATATGTGCATTTCATCCCTAGTCAGCTAGGAAAGCAATCAAGGACGCAAAGTCATTAAGCCATGACTTGAAGATGACCATTAGCTATCAGTTCACATCTTTTTATCACTAATACTCCAAATAAAATATGTTGTAGAAATATTTCATTAGCAACTGAGGTTACAGACAGTATCCTATTTGTTCAGTCGGACTTATTGTAAGTCCTCCAGTAGTTGGCCTTTCTTTTATATATACAGTTGTTTACTTATGCATATATGTGTGTGTGTGTGTGTGTGTGTGTGCATATATATGCATAAAAATAATTTTGACAAGCTATATGTGTGTGTGATTTACCTTAGCATGAATTTACCTTAGCAGAAGAGCAGCTGTTCTTCTGGTGAAAGAGCACTTAGTACTTACTTTAGAGGCTATCACAGTGAGATCCTAATTTGGTTGTGGGGATACTGAGAAGCCTTATAAACTTACTATTATAGTACTTTTAATATTTAAATTTGCTAGTTTAACTGCTTTGACCCCTTTCCTTCATCGTACTATCAAGGAGGAGGAAATACTGCCCTTGTCTAAGGCAAGGAATTATTTTTAGTTTTACAAATGAAGAACTTACGAAGATACCCAGAATCACTGACAGGTAAACAGTTAATTTCATGACCTCTGAAGTGAATACTTTTTATAAAAGCAACATTAATACAACAGCGGGAATTATTTTTAAAAGATTTCTCCCTGCTCACTGAGGATGCTTTATGGAAGTAATAAAAGCCCAGCAAAACATTAATTAGTTATATTTATTTTACATTAACACAATATTTCCTGCCCAACAGTGAAAGAATCATCCATAATTCACTTATTGAAGAACTAGAAAAATAGGGTTAATCTGTTGCTTCTTTTAGAAGACAATCAGCTCCAATAATTATTTAGTATTGGTTATTGCTGCCTACAAAGTAGTGAATTTTTTAATATATCAACCCCACATATGGAAGAACCCAATGTAGTCGGCACCAAAATGCATAGAGAGGTTTCTCCTAAATATCCACAATGGATGCAAGGCACACAACATTGTTTTAAATATATGAAGCTGTTTTAACACAGTACTTAGAAATATACCACATCAAAATGGGTAAGAATTACTATTTGAAGAGGAAGTTCATTAATGATAAGGATCTACAAAGCTGTTTTCAGATGGCAGATTATTCTGGTAAATGTTAGAGCTTTGATTTACTCTGAAAGAAGTTGGCAATAGCATTTAGACATTCATCAGACAACCACCTCTCCATGAGGACTTCAGACTCTCGAATGTTAATCGCATGGAGCTTCTCCTTTTCCACATCTCTTAACAGTTGCTTTGATATTGCCAAGGACTGGAAGAGAAAGAGAGAAAAAATACTTGCATCCAATGAGAAACATGAATGAGGAAGTTCTGTTTCTCTGTATCTTAATTTAACATTATGGAAATAGCACAATAAACACTTAGCTGTGCTCAAACTAAGTTGCATTAATGTATTTTAAACCAATCTTTTACCTACATGCCAGCTATTGCATTTAATTACTCCAAGTGCTAATAAGATGACGACTCTTTAGGAGTAAAACATCAGTCTACTCAATGCTCATAATCAAAGTAGATGGGTGTGAGACCTGTTCAACTGTCTGCAGTGCCAAGTGTAATTCACATTATCGACAGTTGATACGACTGTCTCTTCTTGCCCAAAGAATCACAGTAGTTTTGCAAAACCTGAACTATTAGAAGTGAGCACGATGAGTCAATTTATGAAAAAATAACCCATCCAGCCTCATCTTGAGCACCCCAAAACCCCCACAGTTAGTTTAATTAATACTGTAGAATCAGCCACAAGACTCTTAAAACTAAATTACTGCCAAAATAAAAATCTAAGAAGACCCAAGACAAGTGCATCTAGACTGTAAGGAGATTAAATAGCTATTTTTTAAGGCATTTCTGCCATTATGTCAGAGAGAGAAGTGCACATTCATGCAAGGAAGAAGACAGATATCTGTGTCTCAGCAGCAGAGGAATGGAGACAGGATTGTGTTGGAAAAAGTATTGAATTTTGTTAGTTAATTACAAATGAAGTGAAACCAAAGAACAGGTTAAGTCCAGCAGAAGAACACCACTGACTCACGAATTGAAGAAAATTTGAAGTACTAACATTTTTAGGAAGGTTCGCATAAGCTTTTAGCCTTGTCCAAACTTCCTTCTGAAAAGTTCTGCTGGGGAAGACTTCGGTCACGAGTCCATAGGTACAGGCTTCTGCTGCAGTCAGCTTTTTGTTGAAAAGCAACATCTCATTTGCCTAAATGAAGAAAAGCAGAGAGTGTGGTTAGGTGAGACACAAGGCTTGGGCAGTCTGACAGGACAGTCGCGAGCAACCAATTCACATTGTTTTAACCTCTTGACTGTTAATGTTGGCTTTCCGAAAAAAAAACCCACAGCTCCTACTGGAATCTACATGCTTCTTCGAGCAGAGCTCCAAGGATGTCACCTGGAGTTACTGCATCGTAACTTTTTCTGTTTACTTTCTACAGTGATTCCAAGATTTCCAGAACTGGGATTGGTAGGCTGCACCTCACTGAATAGACTATCCTTGATATTTTAGTGTTTAGAAAGTACTTGGTTTAGTGCCTACAGATTTCAATCTTTCTCTTTTCTGGCGGAAGATGCCACAAGACAGAAAACTTTCATTAACAACCCAGTTTGGATTTAGAAGTGTTCAGTACTCTGCTACGGTGCCTATGTGATTACATTTCTTAATCTGGGTTCAAGAGATGCCAACAAAAACTTTCTCTGAGGATTCTTGTTATGACCCTACTTGGAGGATACCAATGTAGGAAGGTCAAAAGATCCCATGTGTTGTACAAATGTTCTTACCTTGGCTGCACCCATGATTTTTGGGAAGAGGTAAGAGGAACACCCTTCTGGACTCTGTCCAAGTTGACTAAATGGAGTGTGAAATGTAGCCTGATTTGGAAAAAAAAAAAAAAAAGCAAACCTCAGAACCAGTTCACAGGACAATATAACAATATAGTACTAGAATTTAGTTTTTACTTTAAAGCTCCTGCTGTAGCAGAGTTCACCAAAGATTTGTTTGAACCTTTATGATAATAGGCTTTAACATTATTTGGTAACACTACTTCATTCTCCCAGAGCACACAAAAACTGACTCTTTTTGTACAATGCAATTTCCTTAATAATCCCATTGATGAAGTTGCCTTATTTGAATAAAGTACTTAGAAAAACTAACTTGCACGTGCAAAATCTTTACAGAAAGGATGTTCATACACATCTGCCTTGAAAGTTACTAAGTAGCTAGCCAAATAATTTGTTGCTCATAAACTGGTCTGAGCAGTTGCTCATAAATACAGCTGGCAATGATCCGCTGTGTGAATACCTAGGTGGGGATAACAATCGATCCTGAACATACTGTAGTTGGCTACTTCTGGAATACGTAGCCAGTGCCCAAGGCGCTACAACCAAGCTCAGGGAGAAAGCCAAAGTAAATGCGACCTTGGATGAGAATGACATTACTGCCTGAGCGGGGACAGCCGTGGGGAGAGAAGGAAAGGGAACAATTGCCTTTAAGAAGCCTTCAGTAAACTCAAAGATAATGGGAAAGCTCTCATTAAAAACTAGCTGTAGGGCTCAGTTAGGCCCTGGGGAATTCCTCAAATAACTGGTCAAAACGGGCAAAAGCCTGTCCTAGTGCAGGTAGACAGACCCTAGCGGATTGTCTCAGCTGAACCATAAGCTCTTCACTGACTGACACAAGCACACAGGAAGTGAAAACTAGGCCAGGTGACTAAGGATGAGAGCAGTAGGAACATGCAGAGATTTTAAAAAAAGGATTTTGAGGCACAAAGTAAGATTCAACTACCAGTGATTAGGTACATGAACAGTGAAAGGAAATCCAAATATGAGCCTGCTACTCAAGTGAGAAGGATGCTACTGACAGGGTGCCAATATAACATTTAATGTGTGGCTTTCTTATTTTTGAGGGATTAATCCTTAGTTAAGCCTATGCTAAGTTATGGCTGCAGGGGATACCCTGCCAAGGGAGAAATGATTAAAATTCAATATGGTCTCAATAAATTGGATAAGTATCAATAAAAAGAAAGCATTTAATATGGACAAGTGTAAAGTTTGGCAGGAATAAGTGTTACAAAAGTAATATAGGAACAAGTGTTAAACTGGTAAATCTGCAGTAAGGGATCCACGGGTTATAGCAGTTCACAAGTTGTATGCAAATCAAGTGACATTCTGGGATGTTTAAACAGGAACACAGCCTGCAAAACATGGAAAAATTCTTCTGTTCTATTCTGCATCAGTCAGAAATGAGCTGGAGTGATGGGTCCAGTTTGTATCATTATGCCTAAAGACAGAGTGGAGGTAAACTTGAGAGGTATCTAATAGTCTTTAAGTACATTGGAGGCTCTTGAAAGGGAGAATTACAACTCTGTTCTTTTAATATGCAAGCAAGGAAACAACAGGTTCAGCCTGCAGCCAGAAAGATCAGACAGCGGAGGGAAAATTTTTCCTAAGTCCCCTAGTGTTAAATCACCAACTCAGCAGGGATTTTGGTGAAAAGTGCAACACAACTGCTGAAAAAGGAATCTGAAAGTACCGTCCATCACAGACACTTTCAGCTCAGGAAGCAATACCTTGCCTAAAATGAATTAACACATAGTGTTAAGTTCTGTGTTTGTTTACTAACCTTATACAAAAAAACAACAGAGGGAACAAAAAATAAGCAATACAATAGGATTCTGTGCTATGCCCTAACATAGCTTGACTGCATGTTTGGCAAGTTTCCTTAAAAGGATTCTTGAGCTGGATAAACCAAAGCTTTTCAATGTGGTTTTAAACACATATTTGATAAAATGCTAATTACTGCACTTCCATTCCAGGATAATCTTTTTTCCCTTCCTTTCCCTCTCCACAACCCCCGCTTGCCCTAAGTAGCTCTGTAGTTATCATCCCACATCAACTGCTGTGCTGTTTTGGTGCAGTAAGGGGTTTCTAAACTGCAGCTCAGTACCTCGATAATATAACTACAGCCAAGAAACCCCCTGCATGTTAAGCATCACCTGATTCCTGACCCTACGCTGCTAGTTAATACTGGCATTTCTCTATGCGACGTGAGGAGTTCTCACGCTGCTGTGTGCTCTTCTGACAGATTACTCTGGACCAAGTAATACTTGCTGCAGAAAGACCTGTAAGTACTGTCTTTGGATCAGCTATGCAATGTTCTTACCACGTCAGAAGCGTAGACAATATCAAACAAGGCAAGGAGGGTTACAGAGATGCCAATGGCAGGGCCGTTCACTACTGCAATCAAGGGCTTGGGGAAATCGATAAAATGAGCCACAAAGTTTCTGGAGAGAAGGAAAACCACATAAAAGTAGGATGTACCCCAATCTTTTATCAAATATAAACTACTTCCAAGCAGACATGATTACACACTGCAAAACAAAAAAGCTTGGGCTATACCCGAGGTAGTCTATCTTTGGACCGTTTCTCAAATGAACACTGCCAAAGAAAATAAGTGCTACCTGAATATTTACTGACCAGGAACCAAATGTGTGTGTGTGTCAGCCCAGGGTTCTCAGATGCTGACACCGTCATGAGTGCTCTCTCCAGCTAGTTACTGACTACAGCTAGCTAACAAAAAGACCAGTTTTCTGCCTTGTCTGTCTACCTAGCTGCCTGTCTAGCCAGCCATGCCAGCTCCATTCTTGGGAAGCTCTTTCTCTGCACAGAGTCTGTTCTGCAGTGAAACCCCAGCAGACACCAGAACTGTGATGCTGCCACAGCACAGATTTCCGTAGAGCTCTTCTGTGCAGGTTTGACAAAGAGTGTTTTATTTGACAGCTACCTCACCACCCAAAGGATTTTACACACTACAGTAATTTATGCACATATGAAACCAAGATGATCTACTTGAACAGTACTGCTCCATCCTTTGCTGCCTTCTCAACTTCACTAGGTTGGACATCTGCAAAATTTTTCAGATCGTTTCCACTACAGTAGTACTCTCCATTTCCTGCAGAGAACATATCAATGCACCAATGTTTTGTGAAGAGACAAATAACAGAGCTTTCATGCCTTACATTTACAAAACAATTTCATTCTAACAATATTAAGTAATTAGAGGAATTGTCTTGACGTATAAACAGTATCTTAAAGGACACCTACAGTTTAAAAATTACTGTCAGATGAGAAATGTGCCTTTTATTTCCCTGAGTTGCTTACTTTTCTTCTGTCAGTTCAGGATAATGCTCAGTGTATTTGTTAATGCTCAGTGTTCAGTTCATTTTCTTGCTCAAATCCAAGCTTAATAGTATTACATATTTTATATATATATATAAAATATATTATATATATAAAATACACCTACATAGACATGTATAAGTTTATCCATGTCCCCTTCAAAATGATACAGGAATCAGAAGTAGACAGAACAACCTAGTTAAAATGTAGTGCAAGTTTCACTTTTATTAGGTCCCATTGGGAAAAATGGCATAGCACTTTAAGGAGAAGAATGATAGCACTGCATTGAAATCAATGTACTGAATGAGGTATTTTTCAGTAGCAAGTAGACTACCTGTTGGCAAATTTATGAGATAGATTGAGATACAGTGAAAAAAAGCAAGAAGTACTTAAAAGCTAAATTTTAACTGCACATTTTAATTCCCTAAAGCATCCTCTGTGCCATGAGGACATTACAGGATCAGGCTTTTCTCTGCTTAGCATGACTTTGGGCTGCCCTTTTACACCATCTCTGCACTTGCCCAGCTGGGCACGTGTGCGTTGGTGCCTGGGATGCGTGCAGGCGGGCCAGACTGCAGCTTCTCTGGACAACTCTTTTCCATGACAGCCACAGAAAAATCAAAGTATCATTTTTTCATATGATCATAAGAAAAGCTGCACTGTAAACTTTCGTTGAACATAACAGTGCAGTGTTTGAGGGGTTTGTTTGTTTTTAATATGTTTTGATGTATGACAGAAGTAGACAAAATTGACTAAAGCTGTCCAAATGAATTCCAAAAGCTACAGTGAAGCAGCCGTGGAAATGCTATAAAAGATATACTAAAGGCTATATTGCTTATGTTCACCTTGCCTCCCAGAAAGATATTTTGATAGAGCGGCAAGCCTGATGAAGAATCTGAAATATCATCATATCAGAATCATATCAGAATTTTGTCAAAACACTTTGGAAAACCTTTGGTCTACTAAAGGAAGCAATTTTCTCACAATATCTTAGCCTAAATACAGGTAGATAGCTCATGTCAAGACTGAACTTTGGCATAAAATAAACTGAATTAAAAAATTGGTACCGGTAATAACTGTTATGGTAGAATCATCTTTGGCAGCTTCTTCAAGGGCTTTCATAATTTCTCTGTACATCTGCATAAGAGGAAAATCAACAAAGAACACTTAGGGTACTGTAAGAGATCATAAAAAGGAGATCCACACAGGCAACAAGGAACTTCAGAGATAGTTTAAGTATGATTCTTTTAAATACGTAGAAAACAGGCATCCACACGAAGTTGAGTATTGCACAAGGTATTTTTCACCACAGATACAAGCTCCCAATGCAAATCTAAATAGGAGATTTAGGTCTTTTGGGAAATAAACATTAACTGGAAATAGCTTATTTTAAAATGTGAGTAGGTTGAGAAGGGGGCAAAATAATATATTAACAAAATAGGAGTTGCGGGAGGGACAATCTCTGTGCCTTAGACTGTCTTACGAGTCAAGACCCTCAGCCTTTGTAAGATTCAGACTACTATTCTTCAGCCAGTGTTGCTAAATCAGCAGCAGTGATCCTTTAAAAGCTTAAGTAACCTACCTACCAAAGAAAAAGCAGTTAAACTCCCAAGTCAGTTTCTTTACCTGATGGCTAAGGGCGTTTTTCCTCTCAGGTCGGTTAAACGTTATCTTTGTGATGTTGTTTTGGGTAGTAACGATTATAGTTTCATAACCATCATGTCTGCCCTCTTCTGGAGCAGCATCTGTCACCTGGCTAGAGGATTCTGCAGAGACGAGACCTGAAACCAGCTCAGTGTATTTCTCTCTGGCATTATCCTGCAAAGAGAAAAATCTCACAGGATTACCAAATGCTGAAAGCCAAGCCAGGTTGTTCTGCTATTCTTTAAATGGGAAATCACAAAAAAAAAAAAAAAAAAAAAAAAAAGGGGGGGAGCGTGACCTCAGGATAAACAGAAGAAGTCTCTCATTTAGAAAGTGTGCTAATTAAGGTGAATATAGGAAGATACTATATTTAAACCCAGTGGATTCTGATTAAATCCATCTGGAGAAGAGCAATGAAGGATCTGCAAGATAAAGTGCATAAATGCTGGGATGATAATGACTTTTTTAATTCAGAAATGCCCCCAACCATGTCCAGGGATGCCTGAAAGCCCTCTGTCATAACCACAGCATTTATACTCTTAAATTCATGAACCCCTCACTGCTGCTTTCTAGCTGGGCATTTCTCCCACAAAAAAATATGTACTTTTCTTTTAGAACATTATGTTTTGATGGAAATAAGAACACTGAAATGTGTTTGTGGCATTTAAAAATTGTTTACAGACATTTTTTTGTCAGTGTTTAGCATAAACATGACATAACAAAGGCCTAAAAAGCCCTTCCCCCCATGTCTACAGTAAGTAGTGATGAAAAGGCATTCTAAATGCTTAGCTGTTACAATCTATTTCCTTGAAATCATGTTACCCTTCAAGAATTTCTGTAATCTCCAGTACATTAAAATATTTATTCCCTCTCCACTATAATTTCAAGAGTAGATTCTCTCCCTGGAGCGCATCTTAGCTACTTCTAAAAGACACACAGTGCATCTGAAAACAAATAAAAAATACTCAACCACAAAAGCTTTTCTAGTTCCTATCCCTTCCCCAGCTCCCCCAGAGTGATATCCTGACCCCACTGAGCTTCTTTCAGCACGCGTATCTCAGATACATAATATCCCAAAGGATATTAAAAAAAAAAGTGCTAGGTAGCATCTACGACTAACTTCCAAAACTATTCCTGACAGCAGGTCTAATGAATTTGTGACAGAGCTTACCTGTAAAGCTTGTTTCCCTCATTTATTACCATCTGAAGAAACTGGGCTATGCATAATAGCTATGTGCAGTATCAGACTTAAGAAAATCTGCATGAAAATAGCATACTTCTGTACCTTTGACTCTATATTCTGCCTGCTCATTTCACTTGAGGTAAAGACTTCTCAAAAAGTTGTAAAAGGTAATAAAGATGCCAAGATCAAGTGAGCAAGTGTGAAAAGAGGCTCTCAACACAACGTTTTTATATCCCTCTCTTGCTAGTCTTTTAGTTAGGGATCAATATTCTAAGGTGCCAAAGTTATCAATATCATGCTGGATTCATGGATTTGTTCTTTATCTAAACAGGATGAGAAAGAGACAGATAGACAAGGTTTAATAGTATGTGAAATCATGAATGAGGCCAAATTCTGCTCTAAGGGTAGTATTTTCATTTTGGCTAAAGTAAAACTGTGTTTGAACCTTCACCATTTAGCCTCCTTCTAAGGGCATCTAATTCCTGTACTTCTGTATTTGACAGAAAGAATGAATAAGACTAATTTTCCTTTCCTTAATGACTGTTAGGACTTGATATGGGTGAAAGGTTTTCTCCTTCTCCTGACCCAGAGGTTTAATCTACCTCCATATAATAGTAAGATCCTTCTCTCTGTTGTTCTCAAAGATCACAAGTCAAGGAGCACATCTAAGAAGAGTGAGGTCAGTCTGTCTATCTCTTTAAGAAAAGAATAGAATATAACATAATGTTAAAAGCTATATTTTATGGTAAGTCACCACACACACGATTTCTCACACTGAGACAGACTGATAGTTAAAAAAAATCCAAATATTACAGTATTGAAATGATTATGAGAATATAGTGCAAAACATTTTAGTGTCTGAAGCAGAGGTCCTCGGCTAGCACATAGTATGTTTAGACCCTATTCATTTACCAAACAGGCACTTGGAGCTACAGTAAATTACAAAGAAGTTAAGAGAAACTATGTACGTGGTCACCTGAGGCAAATTGCCAAGAGATTTCCATGCATCCCACTTGGCCTTCTTGACAAAGTCCAGCATACCTGGTTTTGGAGAATTGCAGGGACCCTCGGTAGCCTGGGAAGAAAGTAAAATAAACTTATGCAAATCTTTGATTAAAGCTCAGATGTCTTGGCAGAAAAGAAAACAACCTTTAGGAAGATTTGTGTGATCAGAATACAAAATAAACACTTCCTTCTTAGGGAAGAAAAATCTAATTGTTGAGCTACATTCAGACAGTCTGCATACCACAAAACTTGTTTGACTTCCACTTCCTAACAGCTGGGGCTGAGTTTTTAACCAACAAAGGACATGAAATGCAAAATATGCATATACGTTCTCAGCAACCTATCTCAGAATTGTGAAAGCCATGCATTATAAAAGAAAGTTTTAGAAGTATAGATTGTTC